CCCCCCCCCCCCCCCCCCCCCCCCCCCGAAAAAACACCTCAAAGCCAAACTCTCCATGTCTGCTCAGTGGTCCTTCAGAATCCACGAGAGACTGCTTCATAGATACATTTACAGATTTAGTTTTGTCAACATAGAGGGTGTTTACAATGACACGAATAACCCGTTATCAGAATCAGCTTTATTGGAATTTGACTCCGGTTTCCACTTTGCTCTCGATGTACATACTATTGGAATATCCCGTCTGTGTTTTAAACATATAAATACCATATCCTGTTTTCAGACACCTGGATCAGCCCTCATTAGGAATGCACCGACACCACCAACAAGTACTTACACTAGTACTTGCCGATACAGAGTACCAATATAAGTACCTAATGATACCATCACGCTGACAACAATGGCTTTGAAAACATGTTTTATTTTTATCAGATGTTCCTAACTCTTCAACAATAACAAATGAAATATACAACGTGATGCCGTTGCTGACATGTTAACGTTGAGCATTGTGTTTTCTTGATACACGCAGAGTATTGGAGTAAAGTGTAGTTTATACTCGTCGTAGAGAAGTTGGCATGCGCGCCAAAAAATGCGGTAATCACGGCCGGTGCCTGGTGCCCGTAGGCTCCCATAGTAGTCACGGAATTATTTTGTAAGTTGGCACGCGCGCCATCACGTGACAAATGGTTCACATATTTTGGGATTTTACAAAGAAGGCCAATGTGTTTGTAGATGCTTAAGAAACAGGAGGTCTTAAAAATCTTCATTTGAGTTTATAAAATAGTCAGCTGTTTCTTTATAATGCATGAAATACTGAACTTGTTTCTTGACATGTCGTAGAAAGGCAACACGGTAGTCCATGGATATCAGTTTACAGATAATTACGATCGCTCCTCAGCATTGTGGGGGTTGGTTTATGGCTTTTTGCCTGTTACACCTACAGTCTATGTGTTACACTCGTCTTTTTGATTATTCACAGTTCATTTAGTTTGTACGCCCTCTGGCGCAAGCACGACTATAAACGAAGCTTAATGTTGTGCCAGGCAGACACATCGCTGACATCCTGCGGTGGAGACTGAATGTGTTTGGGACGATGCACACAACGTCGTAGCTGCTAACTCTCCCAGGCGACAAATGAAGGATTTAACCAGAGCGGCCGTAGTGGTATCGGATGCGGTTTGTGTTGGAGTAGATTTACAAGTACATGTGCACAGTATCGGATCTGATACTGGTATCACTATCTATACCTAGCACTTATTCTGTTTATGAGAAACCTGAATATGCTAGCTGGAGCACTCCGGAAGAAACCGAGATACTGTTAAATATGAAACAGTACGACTTTTTTAAAAATCTGGATTATAGTGACCAAAATGATCACGTTTTCAATATTATCGCGGTGTGGCTAAAATATGCATATAAAGTGCCGTCCATACAGACATAACAGATAGGTATGAGACATTATGAAAATGTCATGCAAGAAGTATTGAGTATGAAATTAAAAGTATTGATTATGTAGTATAAGGTAATCATAAGGCCGCTCGGCATAAATAAAGGGAGAAATGGCAACATTGTGTGTCTGTTTTTCTTTACATGATAGTTCTTGTATTTTTCTAAAAACGGGCTCCATTTTTCACTTCTCTACCATGATGGCAAGCTAGACGTCACACATGACGATATTCACGATTATCCCAATAATGAAAACTCACCATGATCAACTTACCTATATATGAGTTTCTTTTTTTTAAATCATGATCCGTGATCACCCTATCGCTAGTAACAGAACACCGTTCTGGAAGATGGCGTTACAAGAGTAGCATAGCAGCTTTCAGGAATACCTCTGTGTGTGTGTGTGTGGATGTGGGTGATGAGCTCAGAGCAGACAGCTGTTGACGATCGAAGCAAGAAATTAGCAGTAAAGTTGTCATGTGGTAGTTAATGTACATTGTAGCAATATTTCTTGTCGCTCTCATCTCCCGTTGCCGGTGTGTTTTTGTCAGCATCACTGCGTCTGCACAAATAGTAACGGTAGCCTCATAAACAGCTGCACTCACTGACATCCAGAACATGCGTTAAAACAGCATAAAAAACCTGCAATGCAATTTCTGTAAATGCAGAACTTGACTTTTCCATAAGCTGACAGTTACATATCGCTAGCTCCAGTGGCAGTAATGAAATGTGAAGAGAACCTTTCCGTCAGTAGAATTGATAAGCAACAGGCGTTTGTTTTTTTGTTATAAACAGGCAACAAATTCTCCATGATGCTACATTATTGAAAGTAGTAAAACTCATTAAACGGATGAAGTGATTTCTGTTTGCCTCAGTTTTTAACGATGAAATATTGGAAAGCTTTGAACGGCTATAATTTACAATTTCCACAGCTGATGCACGACTGAGAAGCGTGGAAGCAAAGAGGGAAATCTGTCCGTGATTTCTCATTGACCTTCCTCACATTGGCCCATTTAGCCCGACTGTACGGCAATAAAGGTTTCTGTACTTGACATCAGAATTTGAAATGGGGCAGTGAGAGTAATCTATTGTGTCTCTTTCTGTGATTAGTCGCTTGTTTCTGTTGCAGCTCCGCTTTGGTCATTTCCACTGAGAAGACAGCGAGACGTGGACATTTAAAAATCGTCTGTAGTGCAGCTAAGCTGTGACCAGAAGGATCTCTGAAATATAATAATGTGAACATCAATAGTATTCTGGTTGTTTTGTCCTCGACGTTGCTTTCCCACAGCACACGTTGAGCACAGGACACAGGCATATGCTTAGCTACAGAGCAGCTGACTCATGTTATCTACACAGGACACATTGATTAGCCGGCCTT